TACTTTTTCGGATTAGTGCTACTAGCACTAACCACTCGCACTATGTCCATTTCAACACATTTACATACCTCGCCATTTTGAATTTTAAATTGATCAAAATACATATCATTAAGGTTTATAATTCAAAAACTAATTCATGTTCCCTAATTTTTTTCTTCACCCAATCACAAATAATAATTCAGAAAAGTTTGAGGAAATTTCTCTCCCAAAAATGTGTTAATTGATGTTTTGTCTTTTTTCTTATTTTCAGAATCAGACGAGTACGAGTTCATTATTGTCTCCTTGGATAACAGACAGTGGCATTTTGAAGCTCCAAGTAGTGATGTGAGTTTTTATAATACTCAACGCTGTCACATTCAGATGTAGAGTGTAAATTTCGATATATTTTTTGCAGTTTAAAATTTAACATTGATGAGGACAATATTCCATGATTGTCGCCATGGTGACCCAGAAATAAAAGTGGTATTCTCACTTTGTAACATATATATGCAGAACATCTAACTATGATTACTGTTATAAAATCATCTGGTTTGGCCACAAATCCTGAAATACTGGCCACAAATCCTGAAATACTGGCCACAAATCCTGAAATACTGGCCACAAATCCTGAAATACTGGCCACAAATCCTGAAATAGTGGCCACAAATCCTGAAATACTGGCCACAAATCCTGAAATACTGGCCACAAATCCCGAAATACTGGCCACAAATCCCGAAATACTGGCCACAAATCCCGAAATACTGGCCACAAATCCTGAAATACTGGCCACAAATCCTGAAATACTGGCCACAAATCCTGAAATACTGGCCACAAATCCTGAAATACTGGCCACAAACTGGCCACAAATCCTGAAATACTGGCCACAAATCCTGAAATATCAAATTCAAATTCAAATCAGAGAGCTTTCTAATTCTGAATGCAGAATTCTTCTTTTTATGAACTGTACAATATCCCAAACCCTTACACAAGACAATGAGAGGTTTTCTATAGATCGTAACAAAGTTGAAATGCAACTCTATCATTATTCTGGTTACCAACATTTTACATTTGAGTTCCAAACAACTTAGTCTTTTCCACGAAACGAAACAAAACAAAACCCTAACCTAACCCTAACTCGCATTTTTTGTCAGTGGTCTAATAATATCGGAGAAAATTGCTCGACAAATTTATTTCTGTGATGTGGCGATGTTTGAAGTCGTTCAAAATTTAGGGTTAGGGTTTCGTTTCGTTTCGTGGAAAAGACTAAGTCGTTCCAAACCAAATTTTATCAAGCTCAGAGACTGTATTCTCCTGATTCATTAATACAATGTTGTTATGGTTACAGGAGCGAGATGAATGGGTGCAAGCGGTGGAACAACAGATATTAGCATCCATACAAGGGATTGAAAGCACTAAATCAAAAGATAAAAGTTGTACTTTGGACGATAAAGTGGTGATACAATCGATACGCAGTGTGCGTGGTAATGAATACTGTGTGGATTGCGAAGCACCAAGTAAGTACTGTAAAATACTTTATTTTCGCTTGGAATTAATTTTCGCTATATTTACTGATGAAATGATTCAGTGAAAATAAAATCAAGCAAATATAACGTTTTCCCTATATTTTACATTCAACTCCTCAAAAATCAGTAAAAACAAATTCCATACAAATTTAGACACCCAAGGATTCTTTTCAGTGAAAATTAATTCCAGCGAAAATAAAGTATTTTACAGTAACCTAGATCATAATGAGATGCATGTCATGTTTTGTTTTCTTCTAAAATTAATTTATTGCGCTATTCGATTAATTATCCATACTTCTGTCGTCTTTCATCTGGTTGGTATAAAACAATTAATAATCCACCAATTATAACACTAAAGTGTCCGTATGTAAGTTTGACTTCTAAGTACTCTGAACTATAGGAAATCCACAGTTGCTTTGTACAAATTAAGGTAAACATGTTTCATTGACGCAAATTTTTGTCTTGCACAAACTTCAACAGCGTTACTTGTATGATTGAACAAAATATTATGTGCTTTTGAAACTTTCAAATCGTCCATTTATGTATGATAAAATTTAATTGTTCAAAACTTTGAACAGTGTATAAACACCAAGAATTAACATAGTAGGCTGAAAGCTCTGTTCAATTGTTTGCATAGTCCGAAATGGGGACATATGGTTCAGTCTGTGTGTATGTGTGACCAACTGTCTGGAGCTGGACAACCATTCTCTTTGAACTTTGCACATACAGTACTAAAAAACAAAACAACAAAAAATGTAACGTAAAGTAAGGCATGCATCGTTTGATTTTATCCAAATTTAGTGGAAGGAATTAACCATTATGTGTAGTTGATGCACGTCAGTTTGATTTGTAAATTCAACCAAAGATGGCCAATCGGAGGCCATTTTGTTTTTGATAAATTATGTTTCAGACATTTATCTCGTACATGCCTTGAGCACGTAACTTCAAACCCTATACATAAACCGTATATCATGTCATACATACATACACACGTACATACAAGAATTTTGTCAATTGATTAAAGATGGTAGTTTTCGTTGTAAAAAAATACTAAATTCAGATTCTTCTAAGTATCCATGAATCTGCATTTATATATTTTGAATACACAACACAGACTGTGCATTGCAAAATACTTGTATTCACGTAGTTGAGTTATGAAACAAACTGAGTAATCTTTTATTTTGTTTCAGGTCCAGATTGGGCAAGTTTAAATTTAGGAGCTTTAATGTGTATTGAGTGTTCAGGAATTCATCGTAATCTTGGAACGCATTTATCTAGGGTGCGATCTTTAGACCTGGATGAGTGGCCGTAAGTTCACTTTACTAAATATGGTTGCTTACCAGTGTGGGTTGTCATATATTACCGGGGGGTATATACTGTATTTGCTTTATTAGCAGCGTACATGTGTATGTGCTCGCATAAATGACAAAGGTATGTCTGTGGTCATATTTATCTCTGCTGTTGACAGAGTCGACCATCATTCGTCAGCTTCAACTTTACGTTTTCAACTTAAGTAGTGTTCTAACACTCATGCAGCACGTTAAATTAGCATGCAAATTTGGTAGTCTGTTAGCAATGCTGCTTTCTGACAGTGGTGCCAACGAGTTTATGTAAAAAGTAACCTGTGTAATGGACCGACCCATTCTATCAATGGGTTTACCTATTTGCATCCAATATCAGAGATTATTGGGTGAGATGCTGACCACATTTCAAATGAACATAGAAAATAAATGGTTTGTCTCTTTTTCTATTACATCAAGTTTGCGCATCATAAACTGTTACATATGTACTTGGTTGTTGGAAAGTGTTCCAAGTTTAACAACAGGTGCCAGACACTTGTCTGAAATAACATTGTTAACTGACTAGCACATTTTCTCTTTGATGCCAAGTTGCATTGGTGTTCTCAATGAATATTTTTGTCGTTTTTCATAAAAAAATTATTTTCGACTCATTTTTAAAAATGGCTCACCCAAATGCCCCAACATTTTATATGTATACATTGGACCTCTTGGAATCGTTGGTATCATAATGATAACTTAAATTATTTCTTATTTTAGTCAATATTTTCAGTCTGATTTTTCATTTTGTGATGGTACTTCCAATTTTTTAGTGAATATTTGGAGAAAAAAAATGTGTGACTTGTTGGAATGCCTGCTAAATTGGTTCAATAAGATAAGGACTCATGGGATCAAATGTTTATTCTTACTGTCCAATAAAATAACAGATTGCAGATGTCAAATTAAGATAAGAAATCATGGGATCAAATGTTTATTCCTACTGTCCAATGAAATACCAGATTGCTCATCATTTCTCATACGTGTAGATGCGCTAATAGAAGTCGCATTCCCTTGGTTGCATTGTACCATTTTAATAGAAGCCACGGCCCCTAATACAGATTTTACAGTAATTTATTTAACCATGTACTACGTACTTCGTAGGTGTGATATAACATTGGTGATGACATCCATCGGGAACTCGTTTGCAAACAGTGTGTGGGAGGTGGTATTGAGAGGAAGAATAAAACCAACACAGAGCTCAAGTAGGGAAGAAAAAGAAAAGTGGATACGAGCGAAATACGAACACAAGGAATATTTGGCACCGCTACCTTACTCTGATGAATCATTGGGAGAGGTGAGCAGGAAATAGAATTAGTCGCACTGCACTGTGTAGGGTCATACCACTAATTGAAACTCCATAAACGACAATGTTAACATATGACGAGATTGCTATATGAAAATGATGAAGAAAGTTGAAAACATAGCTCAAAAATGGGAAATCAACATGCCAGTAATCAACCATATGAAAAAAAACTAACATGTTGGCCAGCTCAAACTCTTACAAATCTCAGGTAAACAAGACACACCTACTGTATTTGGATTGCACCTAAAGAAATCACTGAAAAAACACCAAGATTAGAACATCCAAATACACACAGAATAAAGCCACAGGTACACAGCCGCTAAGTAGTAAACAAAAGACCACATGCTGGTCTCACCTTTGACCCAGGTAATCAGGGAGCACCTGAGAAAAAAAAAATATTTAAAAAATTTCATTGGCTCTTGCAAGGCATTAAATTGCAGCTATTGGTTGATTAGTGGCATGAGACCATAGTCAGTCTCTATTGAATACTGTAAAACCATTTATTTTCACTAAATTTTAATTTTACTAATTTGATGTAATTTCACAATATTGTCAAGGAAATTATTTTATCAGTTTAACATAGATTTAACTTAGCAGATTTTACTTATCAGCGAAATTAAAACCCAGTGAATAATTAATGCAATTACAGTACCTCGTACATGAAATAATTATGTTATGTCTAAAGTAGTATTTTTGTAAAATAATTTACAAAATTTAACATTTATTTTTGAAACCACTTTCACTGAGACTTTTTAATGACGCTTACAATAAAACATAATTGTGATATCTAGTCCTGGTGCTTGGATCTCTTCAAAAGCAGAGATCAATTTGCCAAGTCGGAATGGTGAATAACAATTAGATATAACCACCTGTCTGACTATGAATGAATCAACTTTCTTTCTTATTTCAGCAATTACTTGATGCTGTGACCAGGGAAGATTTACGTATGGTAGTTTTGCTATTAGCGCATAGTAATTCGGCAGAGGAAGTAAATACGAGTTACGGAAGCCAAGATGGCAGGACTTCATTGCACCTCAGTTGCGCATTGGCTAATTCTGTTATAACGCAGTTACTTATTTGGGTAAGTGTTCCAGTCTGGGATGATGTCAAGACACCAAGCTGTGTTAGCTACTGTAAAAGGCGTAATTATTCACGGAGTTTTAATTTTGCTTATTTCGCTGACTGGAAAATGCGCTAAATTAAAACCCAGTGAATATGTAAAATTTAGCATAGAACACATTATCTAAATGACGAAACCGTGAATTTAAAACCCACTGAATATGCCTGAAATGGTAAATCAGGGAAATTTAAACCCAGTGAAAATTAGTCATTTTACAGTATTCTATTATAAAACAGCTGCATACTAGTATATGGGTGAGTGACGTGTCGAGACAAATTTCTATATTCTTTCCTCTGTGTGAAAATTGTAAACAAAACAATTGACAGTCTTTACTTTCTATCTTTTAGTATAATGTGGATGTTAACTGTGTAGACGCAGATGGACGGACGCCATTATCATATGCTAATGCCGTTGGGGCCGAGGACTGCGCTAAAATATTACAAAACAATGGCTGTACATTGGAAAGGCTTGATAGGACTTCAAAAACTAAAAACAAAGCAATGTTCGATAAACTGCCAGCAAGCGTAATATAATGCTGCAATGGAATTATGTAAATAGACTAGTTATTGTGTCTTTGGTTGAACTCATTGTAGATTTCATGTTTGTCCTGCCATTTTTTTGACCAATCTTGGATACTGCCAATATTGTGAAGAATCTTATTGGAAATGTGAACTATTTTTTATCGTAACACTGTGAATATCAAGGAACAATGTTTCCACTGATCGTATTTTATTGTAAATTTACTGGATGACTTCATCGGATTACTAATAGGATATATTGCTGCTCACATGTCTTCATTGGATGATTGGACTTGCTGACTAATACTGTCACTGAATGAGATGTATGTTTGCTAAAATGGAATACTAGTTTGAATGTTGGAATTGGACAGTCAGCTGATTACATAAACTGACCAACCAATTAACAGTCAGATCTGGTTAGCCGAGCAGCTAATCACTGTAACTGACTTTGTTAACCAATCAACATTCAGATCTGCCAATCAGGACTGGACACTGTAACAGAGCTGATCAACCAATCAACAGTCAGATCTGGAAAGCAAAGCCAACACATGAATCATATATCATGTGGTTATTCGCTGAATCAGAATGAGAGAACCAATCAGTACATCTGTGCCTTCACTTCATCCAACTTAATTACTTCGTGCACTGAATCGTAACTGGACAACTATGCCCCCCCGAACAGGATATTTTCTGAATACGAAATAAAATTGACTGTCAACCCCTGATCAGTACATTCAGCAACTGCCGAAATGATAGTTCTGTCACCGAATGAATAATCACATTGTCTCTCCACATACAGTGATACGCGGAAGCCAACTGATAAATGAATTCTGACATTGTACTGTCAGCCACTTATGGACTAAATTTATCTCTAAGATGTCCAAGGTGTACTGTACAACTGCAATTTAATAATGACTTGATTACTATGTATATTATGTATATATGATTATGTAAATGGTGCTTTATAACCCAACTGTATTGGGATTACATTTTCTTTTTTCTACATTATTTGCTTTTTTTCTGTAATTGTCTTCGCATTATTTTTTGTTGCCAACTTTTCGCAAAATGCTGTGTAAAAATACTGGTCACAAATTTGATTGTTTTATGATGAAAACAAGATTACTGCTTCTACAATTAAAATGACATGGGCAATTGAGATTTACGTCAAAAATGTGTTTATATTGCATTTTGCTCAGGACATTCAGTGGGCCTTATACATGTACATGACCCCCCAAAGGTCACACATCCTGGTACTTTAAGGTCACACATCCTGGTACGATCTGGTGGTATGAATTCACTATCAATAACATTTTCTCAATTGTATTTAACAAAAAAATTCGAACCAGTTTAAAACTGAGGTACAATATTGAAACTTATTGCTGTTATAAGACAACAATACCCCCGAGAGTGCCAGGATGTGTGATCTTTGGAGGCCATGCGTAAGAATTATTTTTAAGAGAGCAACATTTTTTGAATGGAATATTATTTTACACAGAATGTTATATTATCGATGAAAGTACAAGATTATTAAGAATCACCATGCCTGCTTCCAAGGGCAGTCTTTATTATTATGTAACATTGCATACTGTTTTCGTGAATTTGAAATGCTACGTGGAACAGGTCAAACCCTTGAGTGCAATTCACAGTCACAGTAAATTTTTCATGTTTAAAAAAAACATACTGTGGATATTTTATGGGTTTTAAATATACCAGTTAAAGAATATAGGAATGCAAAGTGTTATAAAGTTTGTTGTGATTGTCCTATCAGCTGACATTGTCATGATTCGTTTTAAGTGTACTTTAAAGTCAGTAGCAGCTCAGCCATCAGTGAAAAAGGAAGTGGTCATCGTACCGTAAAAGTGTAAATTTCATTAAAACAATTTATTTTACACACATTGTATATGACGCATGAGTTCGATATGGACCATAATGCATCAGAATGTCTATCGCCCTCTAAACTAATAGTACTGGTATTTAGGAATATAAAAAAGATGCTTGACTACTTTTTGTTAGGTATATATTTTACAACAAAGGTGTTTGGGCCGTGGTCGCTGCGTCGCACTTGTAGGAGTTATGGGTTCATATACACAAAGATGGTGACTGTTGCGCAGACCATTGAGTACAAACTAAGATGTTACCAAACTTTAACTAGGTTATTTCTTTGGTAATTGTTGGGTATCATACGAGTCACCAGCGGTAGTTAGTGTAAGTCATGCCCAGGTCAAAATTCGAACTTGTGATTTCTATTAGTAGAGCATTGAATTGTTGGAAAATCAAAGATTATCAACACAAAATGTCGCACGTTGACCACTGCCCTTTAAACAAGTTTAATACTTGTAATATGAAATGCATACCAACTGAAGATATTCTCTCTGATCTGTGAAAGAAACAAGTGGTTTATTCACTCAATAAAAAAAAAACATGTTCTGGGTGCCATATATATTATTTGTACCAGTCTGAGGCTTGGAAGCATTGGTTGTATAGCCATCAAGGTATACATCTTAAAACAAGTTATTGCGCCCTCTAGTGATTCACATTATTCTTTGCTAAATTCTGCCACTTGGTGGCGCTTGAAGCTAATATGAATTTGTTGACTGCATTCCTATTCTGTTCATGTTAAGTTGATCGATATTAAGCAATAGGACTAACAAATTTATGAAAAAGCTATTTCTAGAACTTGAATAATGCTGCTGTAAATAAAGTTTTGTGTGCATGTCAAGGGTCAGAGCCTCACTTTGGTATCCTCCTGGCCTCACTTTAGCAATGGCCTCCAAGCCTCCTTTTGGTATCACTCTCCTAGCCTCACTTTAGTAACAGCCTGTAAGCTCACTTTGGTACTATATAATAGAGCTCTCGCAGTGTATAAAATGTGCTTCCTGTTATTCAATGCATATCTTCAGCCAGCTGTGAATTTTCATCACAAATAATACTCAAAAGTTACAACCCAGCTCTGCATTGTTCCCTAATCATATTGCTTACTCATCCAGTCAGCCAATCAAGGAACAGCTTGTTCCTATTTGCTGGGCTTAACAACCAATTTTTTCTAGGCTTGTAAAATGATTCCACATTTCTGACCAATTGTTGAAAACATTTTTTTTTTCAATAAATGCAGTAATGAATGTCACTGTCAAAGATTTTCAAAAAATAAACTTTAAATTAAATGTAAGTTTGTTCTTTTGTCATTGAGATTACTTAGTGTTTAAAGGCCCAATTCACTTGCCCCGGGCAAGTGTGAATTGGAGGTGTGGCTATTTTAATGCATGGTGTTAATCACTTGCGTAGCCTATGACGCATCCTGTTTCAGCGGTCCAACGTCACGTGACTTTGATTGACAGTAGTAATTATTCAAGATTAGTCGCGCATCCCTTTCCCCGGTTCATGTTTTTTACTTTTATCCGCCAAAATCTCAGCTCGTACACAATTTATTGTCATAAATATTACACACAGTCACTGCTGTGATATTCATAGTCACATGCATCCACTTTGGCACGACATAATCGACCTGTAAGTTCGAGAAAACACGTTTTTACCGGAGCTTGGCTGGAGCTGTTTACTACAGCGTGACAAGCAAGGAAATAATCCTTATTGTTTAGGAGCGTATTTATAGTATACCTGGGCCTTTAAGTATTCAAACTACATGATGGAATTCATCTGTATGTGATTTTACATTGCTCTTAGAAACAGCATGGCTGAATCCAT